ACCACCGAGTCATAATCCTCTATGTCTACGCACGGGGGAATGTCGTACTTGACCTTAAACCTATTAATCTGCTCACCACCCTTTACTTTATATTTCCCCGACCCCGAAGAACCAGCCTGAGGATTCTCGGGAGCAGGACGACGACGAGGCATCTCTAAGAAAGTGAGNCATTCGTTGTTGTTATTATTGGATTACATCGGTCATCCGAAACAAAATAACACAGGTATTGTTTGTTCTAACAAAATTATTCCCATGGCATGCTAACACAGTAAATATTGTTGAAACAAAATGGGTGTTGGGTTTAATGTTATTTATAAGACTAGAATGATCTGTGACCAAAAATATATATTGGGTAAGACCACCTTGTGTCGGTTATGCTTACCTCTAGTCAAAAGTGTTGCTGAACCTAGCTAGCTCAAAACTTTACGAAGTTCATGAATGAGCAGACATGTCTATGCCGTTGGTGTTTGTCTGTCCAATCCTTTTTCTCACAAAAAAGCATAGCGTGGAAAAATGTTATCCGCCCATGCTATATGTAACAGTTAGGTGTCTGTCAATAGATTAGGTTCAAATTAAGTGTTTTATTAGTCAAATTAAAATTTGAATTCAAATCTAATTCAAATATTTAATGATATGTACTGTCCGTAATTGACAGTGTTACAAAATAAAATAATAATAATAATAATAATAATTCGGTTAGATTAATAAATAAAGTTACTTTAACAGTTATTAACAAGTAAACGACAATATTTTTCAAGTTACCCTTTTCTAATGTTGGGGCATTGTCGGTACGAAACACTTGGAATAACAATAATGCTGTCGTTAATCAAACGAATAGGCCGACTAAACAAATAGTTTGGGGAGGTTTATAATCAAACCATTAAAGTATGGTGTTAGATTAAATGGAAACAAAGTATATAATAACTTTTTGACTTGGGGGAGTATGTCATGCTTTGGAGTAGACAACATTACATAGGAGAAGACATATAGAAGTAGACCTAATTATTTAATTATTTGCACCTAACTATATATATATATATATTTCCATTTTTCAACACAACTAACTTTTTAAGTACTACTGCTACACAACCCAACCATATGTCTTTTAGTTTAGGGTTCTTGATTTGGAATCCTAAGCGGTAATATAAAAAGTTAGTGGTTTAATGTGACTAATTGAACACTTTGATGAGTTCTGCTAGCTGTAACCAGACAAAAATATTAAAATGATATGACTATACCTTAAGAACAAAAACGAATTATTCTTTTGTTTTCTCTCTTATCGTATATATAAATGGGTTTTTATAAAAATAAATTAAGCACGATCTCAGCATATGAGCTCAACTGTTTAAAGGACGAGCTCCATGGTCCGAAAAGGACCTTAGCTCCTTGCTCGGCCTCACCCTAGTTCCATTCCTCTTGACTAATATTCAAATCTGTTGAGATATTCACGCTAATTAAGTGTCCTCATTTGTTCCACTTCTGGTGTTGCCCCAATCAAATGGTAGCTAAGGTTATCTGATAGTCCAATCTGTTGACCAATAAAAAGGCCAAACTGCGTTGACTACTCCTAACTAAATACAGTTTCCTTACACCATTATTTTTTAACTTTATTATTGGAGGGTTGATCATCGGAGTTCCTCTGGTAACTCAACTTTTGCCGGTTATTAGGTCGTATCATTTAGTATCACAACATGATTACAAAAATTATATACACAAAATTTGGTATAATGATAAACTTTTTTGTATAATGATAAGTCTAAATTGGTGTATATAATTAATGTAATCATGTCGTAATACTAAATTGTGTAACTATTTTGTTTATGTAAATAATCGAATGATAAATTGGGTTGGTGTTATAATTTTATTCAATTATTTAGTTTATCAAAACACATAAATAATTGTTTTATGTATTATAGAACAATTGTAACGTTAACAGAAAGAGAGAGAATAAGGAAAGAGAGTAATGATGACAAAAAATAGGGAAATAGAGAATAAAGAGAGAGTAATGGTGAGAGAAAATAAGGAGAGAGTGAGAGAGAAAGAAGATAGGAGGAGAGAGATGAAAAAAATAAACTAAATTTGTACATATTTAAAAAAAAAAAANTTTGGAATCCTAAGCGGTAATATAAAAAGTTAGTGGTTTAATGTGACTAATTGAACACTTTGATGAGTTCTGCTAGCTGTAACCAGACAAAAATATTAAAATGATATGACAATACCTTAAGAACAAAAACGAATTATTCTTTTGTTTTCTCTCTTATCGTATATATAAATGAGTTTTTATAATAATAAATTAAGCACGATCTCAGCATATGAGCTCAACTGTTTAAAGGACGAGCTCCATGGTCCAAAAAGGACCTCAGCTCCTTGCTCGGCCTCACCCTAGCTCCATTCCTCTTGACTAATATTCAAATCTGTTGAGATATTCACGCTAATTAAGTGTCCTCATTTGTTCCACTTCTGGTGTTGCCCCAATCAAATGGTAGCTAAGGTTATCTGATAGTCCAATCTGTTGACCAATAAAAAGGCCAAACTGCGTTGACTACTCCTAACTAAATACAGTTTCCTTACACCATTATTTTTTAACTTTATTATTGGAGGGTTGATCATCGGAGTTCCTCTGGTAACTCAACTTTTGCCGGTTATTAGGTCGTATCATTTAGTATCACAACATGATTACAAAAATTATATACACAAAATTTGGTATAATGATAAACTTTTTTGTATAATGATAAGTCTAAATTGGTGTATATAATTAATGTAATCATGTCGTAATACTAAATTGTGTAACTATTTTGTTTATGTAAATAATCGAATGATAAATTGGGTTGGTGTTATAATTTTATTCAATTATTTAGTTTATCAAAACACATAAATAATTGTTTTATGTATTATAGAACAATTGTAACGTTAACAGAAAGAGAGAGAATAAGGAAAGAGAGTAATGATGACAAAAAATAGGGAAATAGAGAATAAAGAGAGAGTAATGGTGAGAGAAAATAAGGAGAGAGTGAGAGAGAAAGAAGATAGGAGGAGAGAGATGAAAAAAATAAACTAAATTTGTACATATTTAAAAAAAAAAAAAATTACAATGTCGAGAGATAGAGAGAAAAGGGAATCAATAGAGAGAGTATAAGGGAAAGAGATAGGGAGAGAAAATAGGAAAAAAATAATAGAGACACTAGTTGAGTAATAAATAATTTTTTAATTTTTTTTCTAAAAATTGTAATTAAGGCTTCTTTTTTTTGTTGGTCAGCAATTGTAATTAAGGCTAAATAAGTGTCNAGTCATCGACCCTGATCACTCGGTTCATGTGATTGGTGGTTCGGGGGTTCCACTCCGCGACTTCCACTGNAGCTCCTTGCTCGGCCTCACCCTAGCTCCATTCCTCTTGACTAATATTCAAATCTGTTGAGATATTCACGCTAATTAAGTGTCCTCATTTGTTCCACTTTTGGTGTTGCCCCAATCAAATGGTAGCTAAGGTTATCTGATAGTCCAATCTGTTGACCAATAAAAAGGCCAAACTGCGTTGACTACTCCTAACTAAATACAGTTTCCTTCCACCATTATTTTTTAACTTTATTATTGGAGGGTTGATCATCGGAGTTCCTCTGGTAACTCAACTTTTGGCGGTTATTAGGTCGTACCATTTAGTATCATAACATGATTACAGAAATTATATACACAAAATTTGGTATAATGATAAACTTTTTTGTGTAATGATAAGTCTAATTTGGTGTATATAATTAGTGTAATCATGTCGTAATACTAAATTGTGTAATTATTTGGTTTATGTAAATAATCGAATGATAAATTGGGTTGGTGTTATAATTTTGTTCAATTATTTGGTTTATCAAAACACATAAATAATTGTTTTATGTATTATAGAGCAATTGTAACGTTAATAAAAAGAGAGAGAATAAGAAAAGAGAGTAATGATGAAAAAAAATAGGGAAATAGAGAATAAAGAGAGAGTAATGGTGAGAGAAAGAAGATAGGAGGAGAGAGATGAAAAAAATAAACTAAATTTTTACATATTTAAAAAGAAAATAAATTACAATGTCGAGAGATAGAGAGAAAAGGGAATCAATAGAGAGAGTATAAGGGAAAGAGATAGGGAGAGAAAATAGGAAAAAAAAAATAGAGACAGTAGTTGAGTAATAAATAATTTTTTAATTTTTTTTCTAAAAATTGTAATTAAGGCTAAATAAGTATCTTTAATATAATTTAACTCAATTAAATAGAATTTTTTGTACCTGACTTCTAAATTTTTTTTGGTTTTTTATTTTAATTATAATGGTGGTTGTGTCGTCTCCTTTGCTCCCTCTAGATAAATAAAGGGCTAAGGAGTAAGTGTTTGTATTGCCATGGACCCATCGATCTATTTCTTCTTCCGAATCCTCTAAATCTTGTGGAATCATATAAAACCAAGTCAGTACATCGTCACTGACATCCTTCTGGATATGTTATCACTCTATACAATGAAAAACTCTATTTTTGTTGAATGTTTTCTGTAAAATATATATGAGTGTTTCATTCCTTCCAGATATTTTCATCGCTAATAACGCAATCAATTTGATCTCCGAGTCCTGACATTTGTCATCCAGTTAATGGAGATCCATTGACAGAGTTGGGTACTTCCTAATTTGTGAGAAAAACTAGGGCTCCATTTTCTATGCACATTATATTGTATTGGTATAAAAATATGTTGAGTTGTTTATGAATTTATGCTGTACTCAAGACCAGGTTTTTTTTATCAGGATTTGGGATCTTTGTTGGATCTATTTTTTTTCCTTGATATTAGTACTACTATTATTTTTGCCGTGCTGAAATTTAATAATATTTGTTGTTTTACTGATCTTGGTATCTGCATTTTTGTAACTTTTTTTTATCTAATGTTTCAGGTTTCATATTGGAGGGTGTTTAGCACATTTTTGTTCAAAACATTGGTTTATTAAGGTGGGTTTCATGGGTTGAACTCGAGGAATCATGGGTAGCTTCAGTGACGACGATGAAGAATATCGGTTCTTCGATGCCTGCGCCGATTTGGATTCCGATTGTATGCGGTGTCCCGAGTCTAGCTGCTTAGTTGATTATTGTGTCTACAGTAGTTTTGACTGTGATGTGTGGATTAGGAGTCCTAGAAGTATTCAAGAACGCCGTAGTAAATTCTTCCAATGGTTTGGATTGGACTTAGATATGACTACCGCAGATAATTCGGTATATGTAAATGGCGATGTATTTAAAGGAGAAACGGAGAGAATTATAGAGAGTAGTGGGGCTGTGTTAAGAACCTCAATTTTTAGAAATGAATTTTCCTGTAATCAATCTTCTGTGTCCAGTTGGTCCAGTGATGTTTTGGATTTGTCAAGAGGATCGGGCTCAAATGAGGGTTTTATTTGCAGAAGTGGGGATTCTAATGGTGCGATGGAGTGTAATCTAGGTGAATTGGGGCAGGCTGGTAAGCTTGGTAAAGCTCAAGTAGTGGGTGTGAATCAGTTGGTGACAGCTGAAGGGCTTGAGAACTCTTCTGGGTCATCTTGCTCAGTTCAGCATGCTGTTCAGAGAGAAATTGGGGTTGAAAGCAATTTGTCAAGGACAATGAACCGTTCGAAGAGCGGGTGGCTGAGTAGATTACTTTCCATGGCGTGCATTGTGGACGAACATGGGAAATCTGATTATGGCTCTGACCAAAACCAAGGGCATGGAGTGCAGAGAGTTAGGGTTCACCATAGCAAGAAGCAGTCGAAAGAACTCTCAGCTCTCTTTCTAGGTCAAGATATTCAGGCCCATGAGGGCTCAATTATTGCTATGAAATTTAGCTTTGATGGGCAGTTCCTTGCCAGTGCTGGTGAAGACAGAATTGTGCGTGTATGGCAAGTTGTTGAAGATGAGAGATCAAATGAAACTGACATTCTTGATATAGACCCATCGTGTGTATACTTCACGGTGAATACTCTTTCTGAATTGGCACCCCTCGTGCCAGAGAAAGAGAAAATAAGCAAATTGAAGAACCTAAGANGAGGAAAGAGATCTCCGGCGAAGATTCAGGAAAAGGCTCTCTTGAGGAAGTTCGGAATGGCGAAACAAGAAAATGCAAGAGGAACCCCATTTATATAGTGGCTGTTTCATCATTGGGCGCGAAAAACGAAACAGCGCATTTAATGCACACAACATCCTAAGTCGGGGAAAGCGGCTCGAGGCAATGATGAAGCATTTGTGGTTGTTGGGAAACCCTTCGTCTCCTTACGACGCGTGCCCTCGGTGTCAGAAGATCGAAGGCTGGGGGGCAGTTGATGGGACTTTTCTGAAATACTCCATGATGAAGACACGTGTCCTCGGTATTTACCAAAACACTGTTGCTAAGATCAAGCACCATCGGCGCATAAAGGTCCTCGCCCCCGAGGTACTCGTCATATAGGATCATGGCATTCAGTACGAGTTACAACCAACACGTAGCCTCGGTCTGATATGGTACCTCGGTCGGTATACCTCCCTCGGTTCCGAGATGAGCCTTTCCTCGGTGCCGAGAGGTACCCCGTCCTGGACGCTTCCTCTACTCCAGGATAAGCTATTGACGTACAGGTCATTAGCCTAGGCTAGTCTAGGCTATTCATCATGACCTCGTCTTACACAATTAGTGTCAGAACGTACTGGAATGCAGGGGCCACAGCCAATGGGGGATGGACGCGTGGCGTATGATATCACATCGAAGACAGAGAAACCGCATGCCGTTGCTGACACGCGACTTGGGAAAGCAAACGATTAATTACACCATTCCCTTGATGAGACCGCATTCAATGCGGTAAGGCTCAGAAATGAAAGGCAATAAATGCTCCTAATACAGAGCATTTATTGCATCCTCCCCGAGAGGAGTACATTGTACCGTCGGCATCCCGATGACACAGCATTGATTGCTCGGGACCCCGAGCAGTTAAGAAGAGAAGACATTCCTCATCAGAATCAGTGCGCACACTGCCTGTACCTAATGATCACCTACTGACTACACTGACAGCAATCATGAGCTTTTGAGGTATAAATACTCCTTGCAAAAGGCAAGACGGGTATGCAACAAAAAACTCTTTACTACAATACACACTCAGTGTTTTCTCCTTCCTCTCTCTTTCTCAAAGACTGACTAGATCGTCGGAGGGGATACGCCGGAAAACACTCTGGCGCCCTTCTAACTTGTTATTCTTTGTTTCAGGAACCTCTTTCAGCCTCACTGGATCGTTCTTCCGCTCCCCCAGGGTCTCCCGTTGCCGTTCCAGGTTATCACCAGACCTCACAGGCTGTTCCAAGCAGCGTGGTTGGTCACTCAACTGGCTCACTCGAGTTCACCAAGAGAGAAATCTGTTCTCGTTTTTTATATTGTGCAGGATCTTGCACGCACAGTGCTGTTTCAAGGAAAAGAAAGCACTTTGTAGACACTACTATTAAGTATAGAATGTAGAGTGTACTGTTGACATGAGCTTCTCGATCCAGAGAATGATTTGTTGCTTAAGATACAAGGGCTAACAAGAATACCTAACGCTATCTTCCAAGTAAGTAAGGTCTCTTTGGTTTTTACAGCTCACTTCCATGCTACAAAATGACATGGACATGTTGTCCTATCAAAAGACAACTCGTGAATTGCACTATACATCACCAAATATAACAATGGCATTAATTGTAACCCAATAATAATATACTACATGCAGTGCATATCACATATATATATATATATATACATTCGTTGTTGTTATTATTGGATTACATCGGTCATCCGAAACAAAATAACACAGGTATTGTTTGTTCTAACAAAATTATTCCCATGGCATGCTAACACAGTAAATATTGTTGAAACAAAATGGGTGTTGGGTTTAATGTTATTTATAAGACTAGAATGATCTGTGACCAAAAATATATATTGGGTAAGACCACCTTGTGTCGGTTATGCTTACCTCTAGTCAAAAGTGTTGCTGAACCTAGCTAGCTCAAAACTTTACGAAGTTCATGAATGAGCAGACATGTCTATGCCGTTGGTGTTTGTCTGTCCAATCCTTTTTCTCACAAAAAAGCATAGCGTGGAAAAATGTTATCCGCCCATGCTATATGTAACAGTTAGGTGTCTGTCAATAGATTAGGTTCAAATTAAGTGTTTTATTAGTCAAATTAAAATTTGAATTCAAATCTAATTCAAATATTTAATGATATGTACTGTCCGTAATTGACAGTGTTACAAAATAAAATAATAATAATAATAATAATAATTCGGTTAGATTAATAAATAAAGTTACTTTAACAGTTATTAACAAGTAAACGACAATATTTTTCAAGTTACCCTTTTCTAATGTTGGGGCATTGTCGGTACGAAACACTTGGAATAACAATAATGCTGTCGTTAATCAAACGAATAGGCCGACTAAACAAATAGTTTGGGGAGGTTTATAATCAAACCATTAAAGTATGGTGTTAGATTAAATGGAAACAAAGTATATAATAACTTTTTGACTTGGGGGAGTATGTCATGCTTTGGAGTAGACAACATTACATAGGAGAAGACATATAGAAGTAGACCTAATTATTTAATTATTTGCACCTAACTATATATATATATATATTTCCATTTTTCAACACAACTAACTTTTTAAGTACTACTGCTACACAACCCAACCATATGTCTTTTAGTTTAGGGTTCTTGATTTGGAATCCTAAGCGGTAATATAAAAAGTTAGTGGTTTAATGTGACTAATTGAACACTTTGATGAGTTCTGCTAGCTGTAACCAGACAAAAATATTAAAATGATATGACAATACCTTAAGAACAAAAACGAATTATTCTTTTGTTTTCTCTCTTATCGTATATATAAATGGGTTTTTATAAAAATAAATTAAGCACGATCTCAGCATATGAGCTCAACTGTTTAAAGGACGAGCTCCATGGTCCGAAAAGGACCTTAGCTCCTTGCTCGGCCTCACCCTAGTTCCATTCCTCTTGACTAATATTCAAATCTGTTGAGATATTCACGCTAATTAAGTGTCCTCATTTGTTCCACTTCTGGTGTTGCCCCAATCAAATGGTAGCTAAGGTTATCTGATAGTCCAATCTGTTGACCAATAAAAAGGCCAAACTGCGTTGACTACTCCTAACTAAATACAGTTTCCTTACACCATTATTTTTTAACTTTATTATTGGAGGGTTGATCATCGGAGTTCCTCTGGTAACTCAACTTTTGCCGGTTATTAGGTCGTATCATTTAGTATCACAACATGATTACAAAAATTATATACACAAAATTTGGTATAATGATAAACTTTTTTGTATAATGATAAGTCTAAATTGGTGTATATAATTAATGTAATCATGTCGTAATACTAAATTGTGTAACTATTTTGTTTATGTAAATAATCGAATGATAAATTGGGTTGGTGTTATAATTTTATTCAATTATTTAGTTTATCAAAACACATAAATAATTGTTTTATGTATTATAGAACAATTGTAACGTTAACAGAAAGAGAGAGAATAAGGAAAGAGAGTAATGATGACAAAAAATAGGGAAATAGAGAATAAAGAGAGAGTAATGGTGAGAGAAAATAAGGAGAGAGTGAGAGAGAAAGAAGATAGGAGGAGAGAGATGAAAAAAATAAACTAAATTTGTACATATTTAAAAAAAAAATAAATTACAATGTCGAGAGATAGAGAGAAAAGGGAATCAATAGAGAGAGTATAAGGGAAAGAGATAGGGAGAGAAAATAGGAAAAAAAAAATAGAGACAGTAGTTGAGTAATAAATAATTTTTTAATTTTTTTTCTAAAAATTGTAATTAAGGCTAAATAAGTATCTTTAATATAATTTAACTCAATTAAATAGAATTTTTTGTACCTGACTTCTAAATTTTTTTTGGTTTTTTATTTTAATTATAATGGTGGTTGTGTCGTCTCCTTTGCTCCCTCTAGATAAATAAAGGGCTAAGGAGTAAGTGTTTGTATTGCCATGGACCCATCGATCTATTTCTTCTTCCGAATCCTCTAAATCTTGTGGAATCATATAAAACCAAGTCAGTACATCATCACTGACATCCTTCTGGATATGTTATCACTCTATACAATGAAAAACTCTATTTTTGTTGAATGTTTTCTGTAAAATATATATGAGTGTTTCATTCCTTGCAGATATTTTCATCGCTAATAACGCAATCAATTTGATCTCCGAGTCCTGACATTTGTCATCCAGTTAATGGAGATCCATTGACAGAGTTGGGTACTTCCTAATTTGTGAGAAAAACTAGGGCTCCATTTTCTATGCACATTATATTGTATTGGTATAAAAATATGTTGAGTTGTTTATGAATTTATGCTGTACTCAAGACCAGGTTTTTTTTATCAGGATTTGGGATCTTTGTTGGATCTATTTTTTTTCCTTGATATTAGTACTACTATTATTTTTGCCGTGCTGAAATTTAATAATATTTGTTGTTTTACTGATCTTGGTATCTGCATTTTTGTAACTTTTTTTTATCTAATGTTTCAGGTTTCATATTGGAGGGTGTTTAGCACATTTTTGTTCAAAACATTGGTTTATTAAGGTGGGTTTCATGGGTTGAACTCGAGGAATCATGGGTAGCTTCAGTGACGACGATGAAGAATATCGGTTCTTCGATGCCTGCGCCGATTTGGATTCCGATTGTATGCGGTGTCCCGAGTCTAGCTGCTTAGTTGATTATTGTGTCTACAGTAGTTTTGACTGTGATGTGTGGATTAGGAGTCCTAGAAGTATTCAAGAACGCCGTAGTAAATTCTTCCAATGGTTTGGATTGGACTTAGATATGACTACCGCAGACAATTCGGTATATGTAAATGGCGATGTATTTAAAGGAGAAACGGAGAGAATTATAGAGAGTAGTGGGGCTGTGTTAAGAACCTCAATTTTTAGAAATGAATTTTCCTGTAATCAATCTTCTGTGTCCAGTTGGTCCAGTGATGTTTTGGATTTGTCAAGAGGATCGGGCTCAAATGAGGGTTTTATTTGCAGAAGTGGGGATTCTAATGGTGCGATGGAGTGTAATCTAGGTGAATTGGGGCAGGCTGGTAAGCTTGGTAAAGCTCAAGTAGTGGGTGTGAATCAGTTGGTGACAGCTGAAGGGCTTGAGAACTCTTCTGGGTCATCTTGCTCAGTTCAGCATGCTGTTCAGAGAGAAATTGGGGTTGAAAGCAATTTGTCAAGGACAATGAACCGTTCGAAGAGCGGGTGGCTGAGTAGATTACTTTCCATGGCGTGCATTGTGGACGAACATGGGAAATCTGATTATGGCTCTGACCAAAACCAAGGGCATGGAGTGCAGAGAGTTAGGGTTCACCATAGCAAGAAGCAGTCGAAAGAACTCTCAGCTCTCTTTCTAGGTCAAGATATTCAGGCCCATGAGGGCTCAATTATTGCTATGAAATTTAGCTTTGATGGGCAGTTCCTTGCCAGTGCTGGTGAAGACAGAATTGTGCGTGTATGGCAAGTTGTTGAAGATGAGAGATCAAATGAAACTGACATTCTTGATATAGACCCATCGTGTGTATACTTCACGGTGAATACTCTTTCTGAATTGGCACCCCTCGTGCCAGAGAAAGAGAAAATAAGCAAATTGAAGAACCTAAGAAAAACAGCAGACTCAGCCTGTGTCATCTTTCCTCCTAAAGTCTTCCGACTGTTGGAGAAACCAATCCATGAGTTCCACGGACATGGTGCAGAGATCTTGGATCTCTCTTGGTCGACGAATAATGTAAGTTGATAATTTGTTAAGTGTCGAGCTTTTCCTGGAATGTGTCCAAAATTTATAAGGTTTTCCCTCTTTCTTTTGTTCTTTCTGCAGTATCTGATTTCATCTTCCACTGATAAAACTGTTCGGTTGTGGCGAGTAGGATGTGAACACTGCCTTAGAGTCTTTTCTCACAGTAATTATGGTGCGCCCCCGGCTGTTGGCATTTTTATTTCTAAAATAGATTTGAGTACTGAGGTATCAACCAGGGTTAATTGGCAAATTTGTGCATTATCTAAATATGATCTGCTATTTTAAATCAAAATTTGCAAAATTTTATTAAATGATTTGATGCAATGCAGTGACCTGTGTTCAGTTTGACCCTGTGGATGAAAATCACTTCATCAGCGGTTCCATAGATGGAAAAGTTCGCATTTGGGCAATTGACCGTTGTCAAGTTGTTGATTGGACTGCTATAAGAGATATAGTCACCGCCATTGGTTATCGTCCTGATGGCCAGGTTTGGTCACTTTCTGGCCCTTTTTTTCTATTAAAACAAGGATGTAGCTTCAGAAATTCAGAAGATGGTAATTGAATAATCCGTTTGCTTGTCCAATAGGGTGGAATTATTGGAACATTGACAGGCAATTGCCGCCTTTTCAATTTAACAGGTAACCCCAACTCCCCTTGTTGAATTATATGGCTTTTGATTTTTTACTTCTGAGGACATAGAAATATCTGAGAAAGTTTTGTTTGTTATTGCTCACTCATGAATGGCTGGTGGTTGATGTTTTGGTGTTACAAATCCAACTAAGATGGTATATTACTATTTCATTTTCTGCAAAAGTTATTTACATATTTTAGCATCCCTTTTGCGATTTGCCTTTTGAAATGATTAGGAATATGCACATTTCCCATGTGTCAATGGTTAGTCCATCTTGAGTGCTATTGATTGTGTACATATGTTTAAAGGAGATAGTGGTGTACTTTGTCGAAGTTTGTCTATGTGAGTCAAAAAGGTAGGTTTATGGCACACTACTCTGTCAAACCCATGAATTATTTGTGGCATGGTAGTTATTTCATTTGAACTTCCAACATATTAATCTCTCATGTCAGGTTGAAGTCAAAATGTTTTTAGTTAGCAGGGTGGCAAACATCCATGAAAATTGTTTGACACAGTAGAAGAGAGATGTAAAACGAACTAGTGACTATAATGCGTAGATGCAGCAAGAAGGGGACATAGCAGCATTAAATTTCATGATGAAACTTGTATAAACTTAACTTCTGTCAATTCTAGGCTTTCGAAATAATTGAATGATTCATTTGCTATGACCAGCGTGGGCTAGTGATTTATATTTACAACATTATTTGACTACAAGTCAGAGGGATTGGAGTACAGTAGAGATTGACCCATCTGTTTCCATTTTTCTTGGATCAGATAATCACTTCCAACTGGAAGCTCTGGCGTGCTTAAACAGTAAAAGGAAGTCCCAGGGCAAAAGGATAATTGGCTTTGAGGTAGTCATCTCACACCTGCATGCCTTTGGCCTGTTGCTTCTGTCTGTGTTTATGCAGTTATTTCTAATTCATGCTATTATGCTGCAGTTCTTCCCACAAGACTCGAGTAAAGTAATGGTCACTTCCGCTGATTCACAAGTCAGAATTCTTTACGGGGTCAATGTAATTGGCAAATACAGGGGTACGTGTTCAGTCCATTTTCAACATCTGGCTTTTTTATTAAGGAATGTTTGTAGTGAAGCAAGTGGGCAATTATCGGGCATCTGAAAATTTAACTGATCACTGCATAAGGGTTTTTTTTTTTCATGTCACTTGCAAAGTTGTCTAGTGAATTTTGTGATTCTTTTTTATTTATTATTTGCATTAAGCTTTATTCTCTCTGTCTCTCCCCCCTCTCCCTCTAGGCCCAAGAAATGCAGGAAACCAGATCTCTGCATTTTTCACCTCAGATGGGAAGCACATAGTCTCAGCATGCAAGGATTCTAATGTCTACGTATGGAACTGCATTAGTCAGGAAGAATCTTCTCTGTCTCAACAAAAAACCATCAAGTCATTTGAGTGCTTCACGACCGATGCCTCAGTTGCAATACCTTGGCCTGGCTTAAAATCACGCAAGTTGGACAATGGATTGCAATTGCGTGCCTTAGACGACAATTTACCCAAAATGTTACCTTTGTCGTCTTCCCCTTGTTTCACTTTGGGCCAAGAGTTCCTTCTTGAGCCAATGACCAAAGGATCTGCAACTTGGCCTGAGGAAAAGCTTCCCTCGTCAAGCCAACAACCTGTGTTATCTACAGTGTGTAAATCTGAGTACAAGTTTTTGAAAACTTCTTGCCAGAGCTCATCCAATTCTCATGCATGGGGTCTGGTCATCGTTACAGCGGGCTGGGATGGACGAATTAAATCATTCCACAATTATGGATTACCAGTACTTCTTTGAAATGAGACTGGAGAGGAGGTCCTTGGAAATTAGAGATGACTCTTCTTGGGTCAGGTATCTTACTGCATCTAATGCTGCAATCCATTGTTGCTTGGGCTGGAATCAAAACTGCAAGTTAATTCCTTGAATAATAGTTTACTGTATATAAAGTTTGAGAAATCAGAGTTTCCAATGGGGTCTAGATGGATTGCCCGTTATGACAGGTGGCAGCAGTTGGATAGGCGTGATGTAATAGCGGCCAGTGATCAACGAACAGCTGAGGTTGAGATGTATTTTCAAGACATCTGCATCTGGGACAGCCCAGTCTAATCTTAGGATCCTCCAAATTAGTATTTTGGAGAAGTTTGTGGCTTCACGTGCTATGAGAGGTCAAGTTGAGATGGACATATCTCAATAATGGATGTGCTGATGGGAGAGCTTGGACAACCTCTGTCATTTGTTCTCCAAAGTGAGAGACGAGACAGCCGGAGCTGGTGGTTTCGGCAAAATAATAGTGGCTGCTCTGAATGATTGAGTTGTTTGTCTGCCATTTTGTCCATATGTATCCATCCATATTATGAAGGTGGCTTTCTGGCTGCGATTATGGGAAAACAACAAGTGGGGCACTCACTTTCTTGATGAAACAACAGGTCAACCGTCTCCTCTGTGCCTGTGCGACTCTACTCGTACAACGGCTGGTTGATGTCGACGTTTTACAGGCAAAATGCTCTCTACTTCCGTTTCATAACCAATCCTTTCTTGGTTCTGGGTATTAAAAAACTAGCTAACCTTGATACTAATTGACGTCATGGTAATATCTTTAGTTTCACTAACAAAATTTGGTAAATATAGCATTTTTCTCTGCATCAGGTCAGGTCAGGTCAGGTCAGCTATATGAGAAACGGGCAGTCTTTGTGGGTTCATTAAGTTTTTCAATGAAATTTTCTTAGAAGCATGCCTTGATTTTGTTGTGTAATCGATAATTGAATGGCAGTTACCCCCATGAAGACAGGCATATACCAAATGACTACATCCTACTGACTGACTGACTCGTGACTCCTTATTTTTGCATAGCTGAGGTCTGCCACTTAGCTAATCTGAGGTGGTTTAGGTTTTTGTCAATCAAACATTCTTCAGAATACGAAGTNTACTGACTGACTGACTCGTGACTCCTTATTTTTGCATAGCTGAGGTCTGCCACTTACCTAATCTGAGGTGGTTTAGGTTTTTGTCAATCAAACATTCTTCAGAATACGAATTGCAAAATATAGGGAGGAATTATTAAAAACTATTTTAAAAGAATGGCAAGGAACATAGAAAGCCAATTTTGATCGAAGGTATGGAATATTTTTATGGGTCCAATCCTTGCTACTCATTTTCCTTCCTCTCCATCATGTGTTGGATTGGAAAGCTATATCCAAAATGTTGGAAAATATGAAAAAGCATGTCCTAATTTGCTGATTATTTTTAAGAATGAGCACAAAAAATTCCAATACTGCATCATAAACATTATATTGCATCTTCTTGCAACGCTGGTCAAATCAATCATTCATGATCCTGCATCAGAAACATGATGTATATAGCATCTTCTAGCACCAAATGCAGAGTCAATAAAATGATCCCTAAAATGCTCATTTGATCTTCAGTAACAGTAGCAAAAATATGAAAGAGAATATCAGGACCACACGCTCTTGAGAATAGGATGAGCTCAAGTTCAACTGGCTGGGAGGAGGGAGTCAGTCATTTATGGTAACAAATCTCTATAAATTTCAATTGGCCTGGTTAAATCAATCATTAATGATCTAAAAAAGTCCCACTCATGCAGCCTGTAAGCCAGGGTAACGGTTCTTTACTGATCATTCAGTTTGCAAGCCACAGATGCATTCCAGCCCAGAACACGAGCTACGTTATCATTATCGAGTCCTAAACATCAAAGCAGTGGGAGAGAGACGGCCAAATATAGTCCATTATATCAAAATGATCGGCCAAACTAGAGCAGTCCAAATGGTAGCCGGCCGTGCTGCTGTTTGGTCTGGTGTCCACAGTTCAATCCTCGGAAGCAAGCAACTCTCTGATATGAACCAGAAACCAAAATAAAAGCTGTGCCTTATATCGCATAATGTTCAAGGAAAATGTCAGAACCACAGAGCGTCAAGTTAAGGTTGGTTTCCACACTAAACCTTTCAAATGTACGAAAGTTAAGGGTTTAACAACAATGATCAATAAAAGTAGGCTTTATTTGAAACAGATGGTGATGAATTAATGCACCATTTTAACCCACAGAAACCAGTTATCGTAACAAAATAATAGTTTTTTCCTGCATTAGTTGTAGTAATGAATATAAAAGGAGGTTTGACTGTATTTTATAAACATGCCACCCTATGTTTTAGCAAACAAATGCTGGCCATATGTGCTATTCCAATACATCTTTAAAATACCTGATCAACCAGAACAAGAAAAATCTGACCCAAATAAATATAAGATAGAACAAGCCTCAAGGCGACTAACACCTTGATATCAAGCAAAATCTATGACTCCTCAGGAAAGTTCACTAAGAAAAAGGCAGCTATGTTTTTCAGGAGTACAAAGCTAGCAGTACAAAGATCAATCATTCATCAAGCACACGATAAGTCATGGAAGTCCCAGACACCACTTTCTATTCACTGTTCCCTTGAGATCTCAGGGGATGGTAAATGTCATTTCACCTTTAAACAAGTTCAATCCCTGACACATATCTAACACTGTGTACAGTAAGACAACCTTAAGTGTCCACATTTGATACAGCAATGCGTAACAGTAAATCATGATGACACTGTTACAAGTTTATGGCCAGAAGGCCCCAACTATTATTATATGGTTAGTCAATCAACATCAGATATATTTTAAAAACTTACTCAAAGTTCTAACGTCGGTATTGTTCAATGAAGTCCGTCACAAATATCCACATACCTACTGCCTCATTCCACTTTGACACCTCTGATCAAAAACACGAAATCAATCACAAAGAATGATATTTTGTATTATAGTTATGCAAAAAAAAAAATTTGGAATGTTATAAATTAAATGCATACTACTATCCTAAACAAACCTGTCATAATACCCAATGAATACTCACACATACATGCATATAAATACACTACTATATATTTTTTTCGGAAGGTAATACACTAATATATTTGATTATAACTATGATGTATGCTTCTACATCTATGTGTTAAAATAAATACACAGGGTTTCTTAAATATTCTCAAAATAAATGAATGAGGGCTGCTCTTGACATCCAAGTTCCTCATTATTTTTATCGTTTCAGAAATGGCCATCACAAGAAAAAAAAAGACCTAACAATTTCAGAAGACCGGCACTCTCTAATATCATACACCAGCTCCCTTCTAGATTATGCATATGCAAACTCCATATTCTGAAGAGTGCCATTACAAAGTCCAAAACAATCATTACACCGCAAACAATTTCACCAAAGAACTCTCTACTGAGAAATATTACAATCATTCATCCAAACATTGCATGTATACTCAATCAATCTTGTAATTGCACAGAAACATAATACAAATAACAATAAATTCAAGAATAATAAATTCTAAAACTGATTAAGGTCAAAAGAAAAAGAGGTACAAGATCTTGGCTTTTATTCGACAGAACCTACAACAAGATCAACCATGGTGCCATAATTTGCACAATTTTATAAGAATAACATTGACAACATCTTAAACACGATGACTTTCATTTCAACTCCAAGTCACAAACACAAACAATATGAAATCCCTAGTTGATTTAAACCTGTAAATCAACTATATTTGTCTCATCTATTGGCAATCCAATATAAATCGACAATCACAGGAGATGCATCGAGTTATGCGGTACATATATGCAGGATATATATATATCAAAAAACACATATCTGTGAGGACCTGATCGAAGAATCAGACAGGGAGGTTATCGACGGAGGTAGGATAGTTCGCAGTTGTGGGGCTATCGATTGGCGCTTGAAGATTGGTGAGCATGAGAGGGCGAACTTTGGCCTCTTCATCGTCCTCGTCGTCGGTGTCGGAGGTTGTTACGTTGACGCACGAGAAACGTTCGAGTGAAGCGAAGAATGCAGAGGCCACGCTCGTGCCCAACCATTTCACCAAGCCATCCAGCGTCTCGTATGACACGATGCTTGAATTCTCCATCTTGTTCGATTCAATCGGGAACTCTGTTAGTTGAAATGGTTTCGAGAGAGAAAGACCTAGGAGAGAGAAATTGAACGGATGCTTTCGAGTTTATAAGAGCGAGAGGATCCAATGAGGAGAAATTTGGTTTGGTCCACGAGACTAAGGGGTAGGTAGGTCCACCCGAGAAGTTTTGGATATCCAGTCCAGATACAATGAGCCGGGCCAGGCTGCCAGAGATATATCCAAGCCCACGACCTCCCTGTTGGGTCAGTCCTAAACGGTTTTAAATTTGGACATATCCACAAAATTGTACCTTTGGGATCTCCTGTGGGCCGTTTCAGATACAACGATCCGGGCCAGGATGCCAGAGATATATCCAAACCCACGACCTCTCTGATGGGTCGGGTCCGACTCCTCTGCGGTAAGGAGGTTACCGCATCATATGCGGTTAAATAAAACACCACCATTTTGGGGGGTTTCTTGGATTTTTTGAACCGACGCCGTTTCTGTACCGGGCATATCAAAATCAGAAACCGCTTCTTCTTCCTCAATCAGGCCCATCTCCCTCCTTCGTCAGACCTAGTTCATTCTCTCCTCTTCAGNCTGCGGTAAGGAGGTTACCGCATCATATGCGGTTAAATAAAACACCACCATTTTGGAGGGTTTCTTGGATTTTTTGAACCGACGCCGTTTCTGTACCGGGCATATCAAAATCAGAAACCGCTTCTTCTTCCTCAATCAGACCCATCTCCCTCCTTCGTCAGACCTAGTTCATTCTCTCCTCTTCAGGCGATTTCAGGCAACGGTATCGAAATCCTTCACCAATGATGGAGGATTTGGTGAAGCAATTTGGGGAGCTTGCTGGTTCTTAGGTATTTTCTTTCAATTCATAAAATTAGGGTTTTGATTGATAATTTGGATTTAGTAGTTGCTTGTTTGATTATGTTATTGTTGTTTGTGAATTTTTTGTTAGAAGTTGATTTTGTCTTATACTTTTGAGCCGAGAATTCAAGGATTAGGTGGAGTTTCCAATACCATTTGTCATTTGGATGTATTTCTGTCAATAGGAAAAGCAGAGGCTTGTGGTAACTTGGAGAAACCATGTTGCTTTAATAGAACATCATTGCATTCAGGCATAAAAGATCTTGAGGCTGTGTTTTCAAATGACTTAAATGTTGTCAAATGCTAAAATGTGTTGGTTAGTTGTCTAAGAATGTGAAGTGGCTTACAATTTGTGCATCAATTGACATAACAATGTGTTTTGACATTNTTCAAATGACTTAAATGTTGTCAAATGCTAAAATGTGTTGGTTAGTTGTCTAAGAAGGTGAAGTGGCTTACAATTTGTGCATCAATTGACATAGCAATGTGTTTTGACACTGCCCTGAAATTGATTGGATCCCCCGCCCGTCGAACGAACAGTCCATCAAAATTTAAACGACGAAAAAAGATCAAATGGTAAACTAATATACGGAAAAGGCATATAGATTAAATATGTTTCCATCTGTCCCAAAAATTATAAGGGAACTACACTGTAGTTGAAAAGGAGAGTCTTTATTAAGAAATATGTGTATTGGTTGCTGTTGATATTTTCTTTCTCTTCAGGACATGGAGTCTATCGTGGAGACCATGATGCAACAGCTTTTGTCTAAAGAAATTCTTCACGAGCCTATGAAAGAAGTTGGAGAACGATATCCAAAATGGTTGGAAGACAATAAGACTAAATTGAGCAGCCAAGAATATGAACGTTATTCCCACCAATATGAGGAACTGATTTGTGTGGTTTTGATGGTTTTGGATGTTGGGTTCATTTGGTTTTGTGGACTGGTGCTGTTCTGTGTGGATAGGTGCTTGCTGTTTCAGTGGTGGTTTGCTTTTCTGGCAGATTGTTGTGCAATTTTTGGGATGAGTTAGAGGGTGGTGCCAGGAGCTGGGAGCATGCTTTGGAGTCTAGGCAGTTAGTCTGTGCATTCTGAGCATGTAGTTTTTTTCCTCTCTGCACTGGACTGCATTGGACTGCTCTACTTTGTCTCTGTAGTATTGCACTGATCTGGAGCATGGAGTTGGGGATGCAGGCAGAAGTTTCACATATGTATCAAGTTTCTTTATCATTTTGTATTTTTAATGATCCATTTATTTTAGTTGGATCATTTTGTATTGTAAGGATGCTTGTTGTATTTATATGAATGTGATCTTTTTTAATGAATGTGATCTTTTTTAATGAATGTGATCTTCTTAATGAATGTGATTGTTTTTTATGAATGTGATCTTCCAACTCACAACAATATACAAAACCCACAATTTCATTCAAATTAAATGTACAAGTTCATTCACAACACAAGTTTCATCCTTCAAGATGGATTACAAATGAATTACAAGAAGCAAAGAACAAGTAGTTCTAAAAAGTATGAAAAATTGATTTAATCCTTCAGGATGGATTAAACCATTTCTAATTACAATTATGGAACCCTCAAAGTTTGGAAAACAACTGCCTGCATATCCACCACCATAATCTAGTAATGCAGTAGAATGCAGATCAGAGCAATCCCAAGCAGTCCAGAGCAGAGAGGGAGTGTAGCTCCATGCCTGTTCAGCTCCTGGTATCACCCTTTGGTTCACAGCAGACAGATCCTGAAGCATCACCCTGCCAGATTGACAGCACACCACCACCAGGACCTCTCTATCCACCCCAGACAGAATTTGAAACAGAAGCAATCTGCTATGCAAACAGAACACCTCTGGGATCAATACTACCCAACTACATAAAACTTTTCCCAACCAGTTAGCAATCCAACCAAATACATGAAACTGAAAAATCATCATTAACCAACACCCTGTTCTACAATTGCTGTAAGATCTCAATTTAAATTATCAGTAGTGAATTGTGAATATGAAAATTAATCAAGATAGAGTGAATCACATTTCTCTACAATAGACTCCAGTTCTACAAGTTCAAATAAATTAACACGGCTGCTGAAGGCAGTTTGAACCCCACTCCTCTCCAATTCTCCTATCCCTCTGTAGTAATAAGTATAAACCATTTAATTTCTTTGCTAAAAGCCTCTACTGGTGTATCTCTGAATCCATTTTGAGTGCAGGAGATTCAAGAATAAGCGACTGAAGCTCTTTGTAGTAATTTTCCAAAAGAATGCCATCCGACCTCTGATCATGCAGATCAGCTGTGTGGGAACTGGACTTCGCATTATGATTATGTTCAACTGATTTGTTTGTCAGCTCATCATTGAACAATTTCAGTGCACTTGTCGTTGAAAGAGAATACATGGATTCATCCAAGCATAGGGACTTGTTTCTCTTTTCCTGCGTTCCAACCAATCTTTCTCTCAATCCATCCAGAAGGCAAGCTAGAGCACTATGTCAAGGTTAAACAAGAAGAAAGCAATAATAAAACATTGGAACCAAAATAAGAAAACAGGAAACAAAGTCTATAGTAAAGCAAAATAAAGTCCAATTTCTTGCTTACCTAGTAACGCCACTGACAAAACCCCAGTTGAACCCAACAAACATGGATTTCCTGAAGCCAATATTAAACCCCTCTTGTGCAGATGCTTCTTTCCCCTTTATGAGACCATCACGATATCCAATCTAGTAATCCATCAAGAATGACACAACATTAGCTGACAAAATAACATATAGCTCATTTCTCTCTCTCTCTCCTCTGTACACACACACATACAAACATAGACATAAAGAATACAACAAAAATGAACTTTAAGTTGTGAGAATACAGTGTGAAATTGGTTATGCCTCCTTTGCCACTCTCTGTTCAAATAGAATGCATGATCTGTGAGACCCAATCATGCATTTCATACATATTACCATAATTATGTGGACTAATTGCAATTAAGTGAAATTATTTATTATATAGAATTTTGTGAATGAAAATGGTATTGGGTTGATTTTGAAAATAACTTAAGAATTTGGGAGGAGGCAAGTGAAATTAATTAAGTTGATTGAAATATCTTCATATATGTGTCATGCATTGGTGGTGGGCCTTTCGAGTGTATGTGTGGGTGTGTGACGTGTGTGTGTGTGTGTGTGTGTTTGACTAGGTGTAGAAGTGTGTGTGTTTAACTTATGGACTAGTGTGTGTGTGTGGGTGATCAAAATATAAAGCTCTGTGTGTGTGTGTGAGTCTGGTTTCTTTACAGAAACCATGAGAGAAAGTGAGGGTGAGCAGGAGAGCAAGAGAAGAAGAAAGGAAAAAAAAATTAAAAAAAAAAATAATGTACGCACGTTGGTCTATTTGAATCATGAGCAAGGAAGGTATGTGGTACTTAATTTATACATGGGTTGTGATTAATTTTAGTATATAATTTTTGTACATATATGGGTTGCTTTAATATGTTTTAAATTAGTGGCTGTTTTAATTTATTTTATATACTATTTTAGTTTAATTTTGTGGGCTATTCGCGTTCAAATAATGGACTGTTTTAATTTAAATTTCATGGACTAATTTTTGAGTTTAATTGAGTTAACATAACTTAGGAGGCTGTTTTCCATTGATTAAACGTGTACGTGAATTTAAGTGTAGCGATTTTAAATAAAAATGCATGATAAAAGTTGGACATGGGTGCCGGTAACACCAAAACCCTAATTTCTAAATATTATTATCACATGTGTTAGTTTTAATCCAAATGACCTGAAATTTTGCATGCTGCATTTTTAAATAATGCTTGATGTGATAATGTAAATTTCGATAAGAAATGGCGGAAGTGCGATTTTTAGAATTCGGGGTCGAAATGTGTAAAAATGGGCCCCTGGTCAATGTGTTTGACCTACTTAATCTTAATTGTGATAATTACGATTAATGTGAGTGATTTTAAAGATTTGAGGAGGCAATATGATCCCTACATCTAATGTACCAGTATGTGAGTAAACGGTGCGGTAACCGAGGTTACCGGGACATTTCGGGTTGAATCATCTTGCATGCATTAATGCATGATCAATTTTTCAATGTGATAAAATATGTTGATATTTTAATTATAAATGTGTTAGGTGGAACAAGTGGGACAGTTGGTATTGAAACAGATACGGAAACATCGAAGGAATTCACCGGTAGGTCTGACAGCTCGTCGTAGTTCTGTACACTTGAGGTGGGTGTATACCTTTATATGTTTTGAAAATACTATTATACTATGATAGTAAATGATAGAATTTAATAGCAATTCTCCAAGATTATGTGTTACGTACTTATGTGATTGGCTGATGTTCTGTACTGTGTATTGTGTATTGTGGAATGTGGCGCACTATTGAGACAGGGGCGTCGATGCCTGGTCACTGGGCGTGCAGTGATGTGCTAGCACTATGGTGTTCCCAGGAGATTCGGGAGACACGGATCCATGTGGGATCGATCACCCGATGAGGGGTAATATGAATGTGATGTGGCTTGTGAATTTTTTGGAATTGGATTGATGTTGTTGTTTGATACGTGTATCTACGTAGTATTACTATCGTTTCTATTTCATATACAACATGTATACTCACTGAGCACGTGGATTAGCTCACACCCCTACAGCTCTTCCTTTTCAGGTACTGTAGAGGAGGATACAGACTAGTCCACTGTCCAGTCGATTGAGTCTTGTACAACGATAGTGTGATATCACTCAGGTTAAGTGTTAGTATGACTAATTTCTGGATTATGTATTATATTTATGAAAGATTATTATTATAGCAGTTTAATAATGTATATTTGTAAATAGACTCAACAGTCACATTTTGTGATGTATTTCATGTGAGTGTGGGAGTTTGTATTTGTCTATAACCTCGGAAATAAATAATTGGTACAGGTTATGAGACAGATTTACCATCATGCTTATTGACTAAGGTTATGAGTGGTATTGTTGAACCTGTGAAATTAATTAGTGTTTTATTAATCTAGATTATATATATATATATATGTAAACAGGTGTATCAAAGACCTAGTCATGTCTCATCCCTGGGAGACCGAGATGGGGCGTGACATGATCCAATTCTTCAACAGAACCATTCCTTGAAGATCCATCTTCATGCCACAAGTCATTATCATCATCATAATCTGAAAGTAAGCATCGGGCTTTAGACATACCAAACTATAACAAGGTTTGTGTGTGCTTGTTTAGCTGATTTTTCTTAAGTCATTAAATCTATAGAGGTTCCACCAACATTTGACAGTTTCCATTTGAAAATGAAGAGATTTTCATCGCTTGCTAACACTCATCACTAGCAAGTACCAACAGCCAACAACTATCCACTTGCCTAATTACAATGATTTTCCTAAATGGGAGAGATATAACACCAAAAGACTATTAGTCCCTGCATCCAACAAAGAACTCATAATAATGGGTCATTCCAAAGTTTGCTCCCACTAATACAAAATATGGTATGGATGATCCGTGTACAAATCTAACTTTTGGCATCATTTGTACAAAGCGACTACAAGTCCAAAAATAACCCATAACTTTACAATTGTTAGCCCAACATGGAAATATGTATGCCACTGCAACAAGCAATGTTTCCTGGAAGAACACNAGACCATCACGATATCCAATCTAGTAATCCATCAAGAATGACACAACATTAGCTGACAAAATAACATATAGCTCATTTCTCTCTCTCTCTCCTCTGTACACACACACATACAAACATAGACATAAAGAATACAACAAAAATGAACTTTAAGTTGTGAGAATACAGTGTGAAATTGGTTATGCCTCCTTTGCCACTCTCTGTTCAAATAGAATGCATGATCTGTGAGACCCAATCATGCATTTCATACATATTACCATAATTATGTGGACTAATTGCAATTAAGTGAANAAATATGTATGCCACTGCAACAAGCAATGTTTCCTGGAAGAACACATGTAATGGAAAAGAATCTGCAATGTGACTATACCTCATACCATGTGACTCACTCTGCTTGCTGCTGGCAGTATAAATTGGACCCAAGCCAAGTTTTGATGGTTGCAAGGTGTCCGAGTAGAGCTCATTAGCTAGACTACCTTCCAGTNGTGAATGAAAATGGTATTGGGTTGATTTTGAAAATAACTTAAGAATTTGGGAGGAGACAAGTGAAATTAATTAAGTTGATTGAAATATCTTTATATATGTGTCATGCATTGGTGNTTGAAATATCTTCATATATGTGTCATGCATTGGTGGTGGGCCTTTCGAGTGTATGTGTGGGTGTGTGACGNGGTTGCAAGGTGTCCGAGTAGAGCTCATTAGCTAGACTACCTTCCAGTTGTGCATGGACAAGTAATACAAACAGAGTCAAAACAATCCACGGGGATAAAACATAAGAATTTCAAGAATCGTACAAGAGAAAATTTCAAAAACTAGTAGAATCCTTCAANGTGTTTGACTAGGTGTAGAAGTGTGTGTGTTTAACTTATGGACTAGTGTGTGTGTGTGGGTGATCAAAATATAAAGCTCTGTGTGTGTGTGTGAGTCTGGTTTCTTTACAGAAACCATGAGAGAAAGTGAGGGTGAGCAGGAGAGCAAGAGAAGAAGAAAGGAAAAAAAAATTAAAAAAAAAAATAATGTACGCACGTTGGTCTATTTGAATCATGAGCAAGGAAGGTATGTGGTACTTAATTTATACATGGGTTGTGATTAATTTTAGTATATAATTTTTGTACATATATGGGTTGCTTTAATATGTTTTAAATTAGTGGCTGTTTTAATTTATTTTATATACTATTTTAGTTTAATTTTGTGGGCTATTCGCGTTCAAATAATGGACTGTTTTAATTTAAATTTCATGGACTAATTTTTGAGTTTAATTGAGTTAACATAACTTAGGAGGCTGTTTTCCATTGATTAAACGTGTACGTGAATTTAAGTGTAGCGATTTTAAATAAAAATGCATGATAAAAGTTGGACATGGGTGCCGGTAACACCAAAACCCTAATTTCTAAATATTATTATCACATGTGTTAGTTTTAATCCAAATGACCTGAAATTTTGCATGCTGCATTTTTAAATAATGCTTGATGTGATAATGTAAATTTCGATAAGAAATGGCGGAAGTGCGATTTTTAGAATTCGGGGTCGAAATGTGTAAAAATGGGCCCCTGGTCAATGTGTTTGACCTACTTAATCTTAATTGTGATAATTACGATTAATGTGAGTGATTTTAAAGATTTGAGGAGGCAATATGATCCCTACATCTAATGTACCAGTATGTGAGTAAACGGTGCGGTAACCGAGGTTACCGGGACATTTCGGGTTGAATCATCTTGCATGCATTAATGCATGATCAATTTTTCAATGTGATAAAATATGTTGATATTTTAATTATAAATGTGTTAGGTGGAACAAGTGGGACAGTTGGTATTGAAACAGATACGGAAACATCGAAGGAATTCACCGGTAGGTCTGACAGCTCGTCGTAGTTCTGTACACTTGAGGTGGGTGTATACCTTTATATGTTTTGAAAATACTATTATACTATGATAGTAAATGATAGAATTTAATAGCAATTCTCCAAGATTATGTGTTACGTACTTATGTGATTGGCTGATGTTCTGTACTGTGTATTGTGTATTGTGGAATGTGGCGCACTATTGAGACAGGGGCGTCGATGCCTGGTCACTGGGCGTGCAGTGATGTGCTAGCACTATGGTGTTCCCAGGAGATTCGGGAGACACGGATCCATGTGGGATCGATCACCCGATGAGGGGTAATATGAATGTGATGTGGCTT